GGTTCCGACAGGGAGAATTTGTTTAACATTCAAGAGCTTCTTTGGGGTCAACTTGACTAAATCATTTGTTGTTTGGTTACCCAGAGTTGTACAAACAAATTAAACAACAGCCATTTAATTGCCAGAGGAAATAGATGTTTTGGAAGAGTGTTATAAGGATACAACTCCCAATTCAACTAACCTTTTTTTCTCCTTTTTCTTCCTTTGTCTTTTGTTTCTGTTCTTGCAACCAATCTCTTTGGTAACCCATGGACATCAAATGCTTAAAATCTACCTGTTCATTTTCACTAAAAATATAATATATAGCTCATTTCAATTGATTTTTTATAAAAATAAAAATACCAAGGTAACTAAAATTACGGTTTATTAGAGAAGAAGAAAATATGATAAGGAGAAAACTGCATGAAGTACATCAACCCTTTACACCCCAACATCAGTATACATATTCTCCATACTGTTCTTTATACATTTTCTGAGATGCTGACGAGGAGAATTTGTTTAACAATGAAGAGCCTCTTTAGGTGGTGATCATTTCCTTTATTCTTGTGACCTTTACCCTTTGACTCCCAGAAGTGATTAACATGTAACTTCTCCCTAAAATATCCACACATTATCCTGCAAACTTGTAATGTGAATACTCAAAGTTATCAGGTAAAAGCTGTTTTCTAGATCTGAGACCAAATTCTTGTAAGGTACAGTATTTACAAGGGAATGTATAACAGCAAGAGGTGTGAATAAACAATCAGACCTTGAGAGTTATGAGTTAATGTTTGATTCTGGGATGATGTTGCTAAGAAAATATTAGATGTTAGTCACTCCTTAGGGCTCAGAGGATTAAAATATCAATGGACAACAAGCTGCTGGGTTAAGTTTTGCTCTCAGATTAGATCATTTGTTAGGAAAGTGATGTGAGTTTTCCTGTCTGCTGTAGGTCATTTGGGAATAATCCAATTTACCACAGTAAAATAAATTTCACTTACATTTTTGGTAACCTTGCGTGTCTTCCTTGAGACTGAGGTGCAATTCTTTGTGCTGCCTTCAGTTCTTCATACCTTTTATCCACCTTGTGTATTTTCTTCAAAGGAGGAAGTCTAACATTGTTGGGATTTTGTTTTGCATCTTTAGAGTCCCTGCAATGTAAACATCATTTATCTTTAACCTTTTTACGGTAACATCAGTATTCATATTTTTGTACACTTCTTTATACATTTCCTTTGGTACTGACACAGAGAATTCTATAATAATCAGAGCTTTTTAGGTTGGTGACATTTCCTTTATTCTCATGATCTAAAAGAATGATTCAGCAGTATTATTGTTGAGAGAATTTTGAGGCTGGTCACTTCTAGGTTTTGAATGGTTAAACATTTTCTTTGAAATGTTCATGGTAAATGTTGACTATGAGAATTCTTACCGTTGCCATTTTGAAAGATTATCAAATCCCATTATTGGTCGTTTGGATCGATAAGAACCTGTCACAATCTCATCATCTGCTGGCACATCATGGACGTGAACATACCATTCTGGAAGGACTTGATATCTGAAAAGACAACACATTGAGTTGGTTTATTGCATGTTCACCTGACCACTTGCTGAAAGACTTGTAAAAGTAAATATTTTACACTTGTCCCATGAAAGAATAATCAAAAGATATTGTTCCTGGATTCAAGGACTCCAACTGATTAATTGATGCAATTTAATTGTTACACTCTAACATTAAGATTCATACGCTCCACACTGATCTCTCTACATTTTCTACAGAAATGACAAGGAGAGTTTGTTTGAAAATCATGAGCTCCTTGAATTGGTGATAATTTCTGTTATTCTCATGACCTCTACATTTGATTCAAAGGTGATACTGTGAGGAGAAATTAGAAGCCAGTCACTTATAGGGGGTTAAGGTATTGGTTGAATCTTGAAGTTTGCATAGTATTGAGGGATTCATTGATGGAACTAATAAGCTAACCATCTGATGAAGGGCTAACACTTGAAATGTCAGTTTATGGTGGCCGATTTACACTATCAACTCAAGTTCTCTTATTATACATTTGTTGGCATGTTGCACAAATACCTGTATGTGTCTATGCTTACCCTTGCTTTTTCTCTTTATTTTCCTCCTCATTTTGAACTACAAATTCATGACTAGATTCATCCACTTCTTCTTCTGGATGTTCATGATCAAACCATTCCACTCGTGGGTAAGGAACTGGTTCCTCAGCCTTCACTTGTGGACTGCGGAATGTCAACAAATTCTTTCGCCCTCCTCCTTTAGCAAGCTTTATATACTTTGAGTCTGTGTCCCTTATCCACTTCCTTCTGAAATGTCTATCATCACCCTCAGGGTTGGCCAACTCATCAGGGAGTCCCCCTATCCCAGGGATCTGTGATGCAGCAGGAGCAGGTTTTGCAGGTTGTACCACTCTCTTACTAGGAGCATGGTAGTACCAGTCTGAGAAGGAAGGAGAGGATAATTTCATTGTCAGATTATCAACTTTCAAGATGGATGATACGTTCCTCAATTTGTAAATGGTTATAACTAGACATGTTCATGACATCTCTGAAATTCTCAAGGTAAAGTCCACAGAGTACACCGGGAGTAGACATGTTTACGGGTGCACTCATTTCATAACTGTGGTTGGGACAGCTCACGCATTTTATCTGAATCAGGTGTGCAGTTTTAAGAAGCTAAGTGCCAACATGTCCCGCATCCAGACAGATTTTTAGTAGGTTAGAGATGTTCCCTAATTGTCAAAAATTCAGAAATTCTAGGGTATGCGCAAGCTCAGAAAATTCATCCACTTCAAAAAATATACAATAGGTGTGTTTGGAAATCGCCTTAAATTTCTAAACAAAAATCTGATACTTTAAGAAGTTTAATGGGATCTCTCTGGGGAAACTGCAAAAAATTCTGACCACCGGACACGGAGTACTCAAAAAACTCTCCAGCTGCCACATACAACGTTTTAGAAGCCGTTATAACTAATGATCTTTATATCAAAACCATTAGCTATATATTTTCCAGTTTCCTTTATACAGTCACTTACTAATAAGTAGAAACTATGGGGAAAAAAAAACGGGCTTAAGTTGACTTCGTTTACAACTGTCCAAGGAACCACAGATTTTCAGCTGGTTTGATCCGTTGAAAAAACGGGATGTAGAAACACTTTGATGGCTCGTACAGAAACATTTTGTGTTTTAGAGAGACGTGGATGCATATAAATCGATTTGAGTGCTGATTAGACTTAAAAATACCAAGACTCAAGCTTCAACACCGTTTTTTAGTGGTACAGTTGTTCTTCAAAAATATGGCGTGCTTGATTCACGCGAAGTACGTGCAATCATTTGTCACAAATTGTCGCTTTCGTTTTCAATGAAGAATCTAAGCAACAGTCCTAAACCCCTTACCTTGGGTTGAAATGTTTGGATTAGGCATTTACGTTCTGTTTCTAGTTGTGTCTTTGATAACCTGTCTTCACTACCATCAATGTTTCTAAACTGTTGAGCACAGTTGTTGAACAAAGCGCCTTTGCCGAGAGTGTTTTTTTGTTTCTATGGTAACAGAATTATGAACAGACATTGCGTGACTAATGCGTCACACACCGTCCCATGTTGGCTAACGGAATAATATCGTCAACCAGTTTTCAAATATGTTTTAGAGGACTCAAATAGCTCTCCCAGCCAAGTTTATACATCTTGTAAATGAGGTTCGACAGGAAACGCGTTGAATGATAAAATCTACTGACTTGCGTTGACACAGTACAACTTTTCTTTCATTTTTTTTGGTTATTTTTCGATCGTTTGTATTTCTTGGGTCTTCATTGATTATCTTCGTTTGCGGAAAAGATGAGTAGTCATTTGAAGGAAAGAACAGAAGGCCGAAGAAAGTGTTTACCTCTCTCTCGCGTCGATTTTTGGGATGTTACGCAAGGCCAAGTATGAGTTTCAAAATGTGAAGGTCCGTTGATTTGAGGCCTCGATTAATAACGACTATTCACAGTTTAGGAAAAGGAAGAAGCAGCCCTGTGTAAAAAACTGCAGGGAATTTTTTAGAGAGAATCATCAACTTATTAGTCCAACTTCCGCCACGAGACACTTCCCATTTGCGTACACGAAGTTAATGTCTACGCCGCAAGAGTGTAGTGTATGTTGGGCTGCTTGTGTGAAATATCATAGTACAGATGTTGTTTAGGGGGCGGAGGGGGGTGGAGTGTGCATGTTAAAACGACTGAGAGGTGTCTTTCTTTTGAATCCAGCTTGAGAGTGTTACACTGTACTCCGTTTGTGCTTGCATGCATGTACTCTATGTGTATGTAGTCCACGTGTTGACATGCATGTGTATGTTAATGCAGTACTTCGTGTGCGCTTGCATGCATGGAATATGTTTATTACGCGAGTACTCATGATGACTTGGCAAGAATTTGATGATGGGTAGTTGGCAAGAGTTTGCAAAAATTTGACCTCGATGAGTGACGGTGTCAGCTATTTAAGAAGATTTGTCTGGACCTGATCACCCAGATGGTGGAATGGGGAAAAATATATTTATTTTCTTATGAACTAAATATTACAAAACTGATTATTTGTTGTCCTGATGCATTGTTCGAATCAAGAGCATATCTTACCTACGTGAGGTTTGAGGAAAGTTTACCTTTAACTTTTGATGAAAGGATTAAATCATGACACGCAGCAAACAATATCTCTGTTTATACAGACCCCTGATAATACAATGCTTGCTTACTAGTTCTTGTTTAAGTCAACTTACCAAGAGGCTTAACCCCTTCACTGACTGTTTCTCTATGCTGTAGGTTTTAATGTTAAATTAAATGAAGTAGTTTCTCCTAATCCAGCTCTAAGTCACGAAAAAAAAACCTTTTGTCGTTCTAACACTTTGAGGTCTGTTTTGTCCATCTCAAACCAAAATCCCTCCTAATTACAACCTTGGGATCTATGAATAAATACCTCAAAGACTGGTTTTTTTTTTTTTTTTTTTTTTTTTTTTCATCAAAAATTCCCTTTGGTGGTCTGATTCTTGTCATAACATTTCTTTTATTTGCATTGATAGCGCTTATCCAATCGCAATCGGTTTGTGCTTCTTGACAGCAAAAGGTCAGGGCACGAAATTTCTTATCCAAATTGGTTAATGACGCGACAAAACTCAGAAACTAAATTTAGACGAGGTAAAAAACGCACAAAAAGGTTACATGGGCCATGCCAACAAATAGTCTCAGACACTCAATCGCATTTGCATCTATCCTGCACGCAATCGAAGTTTTATACTTTTTTCTACTTCCTCGAGCGGAATGAAGTCTCTTCACTTCCTTTTGCTCTTTGCCTTGGTTGAAACTTCCCCTATTCCTGAATTAACATCGGTGAGTTAACGTAAGCACATTGTCACATAAAACAGTCTCGTTACTCACTCATACGTACGTGTTCATGTTGTCAATGGATAGACGCCGTGGCCTCATTAGCAGCTGACCCAACTCTGCACGATTCAGTTGCAGTGAGCAATTTGGCGATTTGAAGCTTAGACAGGGTTCCTAACGTACGTTATTATTGGAAGAATATTTTAAAACTTCAATGGACTACGTAGCTTCGAAAGCTCATGTTGCACAAAGGAGCTAGATTGAGGAACAAGCTATTTTTTCTTTTCCTTTCTGTTTGTTTGTCATTTTTGTTGTTGTTGTTGTTATTGTTGTTCTGCGTTTTAAGGCGAGTGGGGCAATATTCCGGGAACGCATCAGGCGTAAATCACGTGCTGGAAAAAAAAACGAAACATACGCATTAAAATAAGAGGGGTTCTTCTACTCGCGTTTCACTGAAACGCAAGTAGAACTTCCTGTTTATCTAACGTTTGCCTCTGCGTGACTTCAAAACGTGCCAGCGGAGCTAAGAATGCAATGCGCAGCGAGAAGAATAGGGAGGACTTTTACCCATGGGAAATGATCTGTGCGACTGTTACATCATGTACCTTCGCTTTCGCTGAAATCGTTCAAAACTGATTCAATATTATCTTCGGCCGACCAAGCTAATAAAATCTTGAACCATACGCTAAATGAGCCCTCTTTAATAACGCTTTGGAGAGGGCATTTCTTCCGCCGCGAATAATTTCGAGGCTTTCAGAAGTGCTAGCTGGCGTGAGGTCAGCAAGCGGACTTGCTCCGATCATTATTAGTCGCCAACAGATTAATCGTTTCACATACGAGGGCTTTTTTACATACGTTTGAAACAATCCTATTGGTCTCTCGCATGCAATAATATAGCCAAAAAGTTTTGAAGTATTGATTACTGATCGAGAAAACCTCTAAAGAAAACATTTCGCATTACTTTTTGTTTTATTTTACACAGCCGCTCCTTCCCAAATCTTGCCTGGATTATTTACAACAAGGGATGACTCAGAATGGTTTCTATGTCCTAGTTGATAACCAAGGCCATCCATACATGACTTACTGTGATCTGTCATACGAGCCGGGCTCCGCGTGGACCCTAGTAATGTCTTGGCAGACTGCGAAATTCCGGGATTTGCCTTATTTCAAAACCAAACTGTTCACAGAAGATGCTCCAATCAACGCAGGTAGTCCAAACTGGTTTATTTACCGCGAGACACTTGCAAGAATGAAATCCATCCGTAGTCAATCCACGCACTGGCGAGCAACGTGCAATATCAACAAACTAAAAGCGATCGATTTCGAAGATTACCTTCGGGGAAAGCTCAAAGACTTGGATATCTTAACGTGGCAGGGTGGGCGAACTTGTTTTTCCATAGACTATGTGAACATTCGCGGAAAAGCTGCGGGTACTGGCACTACCATGGCATTCTGGCAGGTTCCTAATAAGTATATTCTCCACACAGACAGCACAAATACCGGATGTGAATTTTATTATGAAGCGAATCCAATTGTGGACTTTTTTGGTTTCTACGGAGATGGACTTAGCCCTAAATTCCGCTGCAGTGCAGAGCCTGAGGCCACAACTCAATGGTGGTTTGGTGGTTATCTCTCAAAAGAGCGATTTTTTCAAAACAGTTCTCAACCAGTGGGCGCATAAAAAAAAAAGTTTAATCCGGTTAAACGTCGTTAGATCCGATAACGAATTCTTTCTTTCGGCTTCCATACATTTGATTAGTGACAAATTAGTAGAATATGGTGTAATATTCCGAGAACACCATTTAACAGATGAGTTTGTCTTTTCTCGTGATCTATTATATGTGCTAAACTACGAGCATTTCCTCCTTTTCAGCGAAGCCCGTCGGGGGAGTAAAAAAACCAGTGCAAAAAAAGAAATTGACGACAGCACGCCGTGCGGAACTCTGGATGTAAGGCGTCAAAAAATGACACCAACTTTTCATGCACCTCAACCCAAAGTTTTACGCGGCGCGATAACAGCACTGTTATTTTTCTGACTCGCGCGACGGACTTCGCCAAAAATTGTGGACCGCTCGTAGTCTTCCTATTTTCAAGTTATTATGTTAGAATATTATGACGAATTTAATTGCATGTTTCGCTTGATGTTATTTTATATATACTGATGTGGCTCACAGTATTACTGATGGCAAATAGAGTTTCGAGATGGATGACAGAGCTGGCAATAGCTTAGTCATTTTGCAAATTGTCACTATCACGGGCTTTTAGATTTAAATCAAGTAGCATGGCACAAGTCTTTTAGTTATCGCTGTCAGCCAAGAAACGAACGACGCCAATTTTAGAAGAAATTTTATGACCTGATAAACGTCAGACCGATTTTTCTGTTGATTAACCTGATGTGATTAGTTAGTTTCTCTTTTGTTTTTATTCCTTTTGCATTTTTAAATTTCTGTGTTCCCATATATCCAGTTTGTCTCACGAGCAACTAACTTGTGAGTTAATAAAGAGGGTAAGTTTCAAAAGAAATTGTGGAAGAAACTGTGGTGCTGCGTCGGTGGGAGAGTATAGCAGGGTAATTTACTATTTTACTAACTGACGTTTCGACCGTTAGCCCTTCGTCAGAGTGGTAGATTGCGGTAGATGGATAGCAGCCTGTAAGTGGTGAATTGGAGCAGTTATAATGATAATGATAATGATAAGGAATTTATATAGCGCTAAAACTATAAACAATATTCAGAAGCGCTTTACATAAATTAAAGTTCTATACTAATTAAAGTTAAAATATTCAAAGGCCATAAACATTAGAACTATTGAAACAAACTAAAAGCTTTCCTAAATAGAAATGTTTTAAGTTGCTTTTTAAAAATGGCGAGGCTACTACTTGTTCTTATAGTTAATGGCAGCGAGTTCCATAAAACAGGTGCAGCATTAGCAAAGGCCCGATCCCAAAGTGAAGAGCAGTTGACTTTTGGAACGAACAGAAGAGATTGAGCAGATGAGTGAAGAGCATAATTAGTAGCTGGTTTCAGGGACAAAAGATCTTTAATGTAGGGAG